CGGGCGGGCGGGTGAATGCTGCGTATGGATTGCCCGACTCAGGATATGCAGCTGGAGCACAGATCCAGCGATCGGCTGCGCAGGATGCGGAGCGTCGGATATGCTGTCGCGCCGTGGTTAGGCCGCGACGGGAGCGTGCAAGGAGGCAGCGGCGTCTGTGAAGCTTTCGACGCGCCTCGAACTCATCTCATCTCTCCTAAGGCCGCTCATTTCACGGCCTGCCCCACTCGACTCGCGGCGGGGCTGTGAATATGATCATCGCATTCAGGGGGTGGCTGCACCGGCCACTGCACGGTTGACGTGCTCGCTCAGCGCAGGGCCGAGTCGGTTCGTCTCTTGGGCGCAGAATGAATTTATGCACACGGACCGGCACGGACTGGCACGCTCCAGCACGCCGCAAACCCCGTCGGAGCGCCAATGGTGGACCAACCCGCCTCGCTTGCAGCAGCAGACATTCCCCCGGGTTCGCTGCCTCGACTTGCTGGTGACAGGCCATCTGGGGGTCGACAAGCCTTGGACACGCTATCGTGGAACCACGCTGGATTTCTTCGTGAAACAAGGTCTCACTTGTCTCTCACCGGGCAACTCGATTTTTGCACACACCGCCAGATAGCGATTTCGCAGCGGACTTCCCAGTCGCTTCCGCCGAGCACGACGTTTCCAGGGCCAGATGATCTTTGCGGGGTTGCTGGTGGGAAGCACGTTTGCTCGCGCTTGGCTCGCCATCCATCGCGGTGCCTCGCCCGCAGGCAAGAATGAGCACAGTTGCCTCTTTCGGACCAAAAAGACGTGCTACGTTTGTCGCACGTCCCGAGACAGAAGCCGTTATCTCTCCTTTCGGCCCTTGCGTGCGGAGACAGAAGAGCGGCCAGAGAAGGGCCTTTTTTTGCTTTTTGCTTGCCGGACTAAAGCTCAGCCTTGTCTGAACAATCGGATTGCGACGCACATGCTGCATGCTGGCTACTGTGTGCTGCTCTTTGTGGCGGACCTGGCCAAGAGGAGGCTCGTGGGTCGGTTGCAAACCCTGGTAGCGTGCGCTGCGAGGCGCACAACAATGCACGGCTGCAGAGGCCTGGCGCATGGTGATTTCACGACGACAGCCGTGGCGTGGGCCCTGTTTTTTCCCCGGACGCGAGTTGGCCTGCGCAGAGGGGCCTGGCGACATGTCGAGCATCTGCACGATGCTCGAGCTGCACTGCAGTGCATCGCCCTGCGTTTCGTCCGCGTCGGCAGCTGCGCGAATGCATCGCGAGTGTGGGAAGAGTGGGTGCCATACGACGGATGGCTTCCGACGCCCTTTCGGCTTAGCCGACGCCCTTGCGCACGTCTCCTCGGCCTCTCTCTCCGCTCTGCCTCTTCTCTGCCTCGCGACGCAACGCCCAGTGCGGTCGCGCTCGCTCCTTCACTCTCGCGCTCGTCACGGCCCATCCGACTACATAATATCGACGCTGCCTTGACTGATCCACCCTTCCTTCCTTCGTCCCAACCAGCCTCCCCGTCCATCGATTTGCATCGTCTCCATCAGGCCGTCTGCTTCAACGTGGTGTTTCAGTGACCACTCGGCACACGGTCGTCTCGGACCTCCCCTTCCTCCTTCACACCACCTCTGCATATCTCTGCATAGCATTGGGCTCGACTGGTCCCCTTGGCCTATCTAGTCTTATCGTTCTTGCGACAGCCGTTTTCGATTGGCCTCATCCTCTAGGTGTCTGCTCCGTTCTTCGTCTCTCGTCTCGTCCTGCCCTAATTCGTCGCATCCGCATCCCCATTCGCAAACGAGGTCTGCCTTCATCTAGGCTCCCTCAAGCATCGCATCGCATCCCTTCTTCATCTGCTCCCGCCCCTAAGGACCGCTACGAGCGTCATCCCTGCATCGCTACGACATCATAGCTCCATCCCTCTCTCTCACACGATCGTCCTTCATCTCCTCATCGTCCTCTGCCTAGCCTCCTCCTCCGTCTGCTCCTAACAAGCATCCTCTATTCCCTGCATCTCTCGCCGCACCGTCCCCTTTGTACGCTTATGCAGCCCCGTCTGTAGTCATCCTTCTGTACTGCAAGATCGAATTCCTTCGATCAGCTCGACATCGACCCACTTCGGCAACATGTCGACTTACCACTCCACCGCCTTGTCGCGCCCGAGCCTCGGCCATCGCTCCATCTCGGAACAGGCGCCCCTCTACGAACCTTCCAGCGCGGCGCACGTCGGCTCGCGTCTGCGCGGCTCCAAAGCCACCAGCGGCTCGGTGACTCAAAACGGCTCTCATCTGCCCTTCTCTCCCCTGCTTCAGCTCCCTCCCGTCGTGGATATCAAGCTTCACGAAGCCGAGAGGGAGTTTGCCGATGACGAGCAAGCAGAGAACTGCGCACCTCATATGTTCCCGGGACATCACCGTCCGCCCGTCGGCCCGAGTGCCCTCGCCACCCGCCGCCAAGCGCGTCGAGGCGTGTCCGAGGGCTTTGCAGCTTTGCACCCCCATCAGGTCGCTGGCAATCGCGCCGGCCTGGGTGCGCAGCCTGCCGTCTTGACTCCTGGCGGCAAAGGCGCTCTGCGCCTCGATATCGCCGCTGCCGCGGACAGCAAGAGTCAGCAGGCGTGCCGATCCGCCGGCATGATCCGCAGCTACTCGATGCCCGTCGCCACGCAGGACGAGCACGACGAGCAGCAGCGCATCATGGCGCTCGGCCTGTCGCCCATCGGTCGCTACGCTGCCAACCCGGCGTGGTGGCAGTACGGCTGGCCCTCGCCTGGTGGCGTCAACCACCGTCATCTGCACCGTGCGCCTGTGCCAGAGATGCTCGGCCAACGTCGCGGCTCGGCTCAATCCAAGCTCGCTGCCGTTGTGGCGCCTGCCATGGGTCCCTCGCCGCGGTCGTCATCGCCGGTGTCGCCACGACCCAGCAGCCGCTCGAGCAAGACTCACTCCAGCTGCTCGCCCAAAAGCAAGTCCAAGCATCTCCCGGCCATTCACCAGCAGACGTTCTCGCGTGCCGCCGCCGCCACCGCTGCCGGAGCGTCGTCGTCGGCATCGTCGTCACCCAAAGTTGGTCGTTCACCGCTGTCGATGATCTCGACCAACCTGCCTGCACTCGAGCCGCATGCGCCCGAGCCCGCCGAGGCGGCGTTCGACATTGAGATGGACGCTCTCAACCAGCGCTTTGCGCAGTGGTCTCGCGAGGCGGCGCCCGGCATCGGCCTCGACGAGGACTACTTTAACCTGGCGCACGACGGCGGTGTGCTGGATGCGCGCTTCCAGCCCGCCGGCGCCGGCTCGGACTCGTCCGACGAGGCACGCACGCCGCGTGCTGCGTCGCCGCGCCTGCACTCCAAGCCGTCGCTGCTGCTCGACACGCTCGACTTTATCCACCCAGACCACCTTGCCGGTGGCTCGGATTGACCCTGCCTACATCTGCTTCTCGTCTAATGTGTCCTCCGCGTCCCGCAGCGAAGCTAATCTGTGTATTCGTCGTGTCCTTGCGCGGTGTGATGGTGTGCAGATCCCGAGTGAGCTGAGCGTGATCGGGAACAACTCACGGCGCCTCATACTGCGTGCGGTGGCGTGGACTGCGTGCACGTCGGGCGCGTGTCAGTGTCTCTTTGTCGTCAAGCGCTCATCATCGTTGTCAGGGGGCCCTCGTGGTCACACAACCCGCCATACACGCGCGGGCTCAAGCAGCGGAGCGCAGGACTGACCACGCAGGCTCTGGTGCAAGGTTAGGCTGAGGCGCGAATCCTTGTGGCTACCCGTTGATGGCGGTGGGCGATTGATTGATCATGGTTGAGAGGAGACGGAATGCAAAGGATGATGTTGTTGTACCGGTCGAGCGTGTGGAAGGGAAGAAGGAGGTGCTGTTTTCAGGCGGTTGTGATCGACGGAGTCCGGCACGGTACATACCAAGGTGCACGTCTCGTCATCGGCTCATGCGGCTCGTGTTTGTCCCCTATGCAAAGCAAGCTTTTTGTACAGCAGAGGCCAAGACGGTGCTTACTCTACAGCGGGGGGGCTGAATCGACTTGAGCGTATCGTCGTGCGGCTCGGCGTTCTTTCAATGTGCGCAAGGTGGCACATGGCCTGCCATTCGCTCTGGCCTTGCAAGCGGGTCTAATGCATCAAACAGCGCATCGTCACCATGCGTATCCAGAGTGATTCCTAAAGGTGCCTCCAAACCCACGCTCTCCAACTCCTTGACCGCACAACCCCCCCCTCACTGACTTTCTCACGCAGCTCAAGCATATCCCTATGCGCCGTCTCCGCAACAGCCTCTCCAGACTCCCGAGAATGCACGCTGCTTTCCGCTGTACACTGGCATTGCTTCACAAATTCGTCGTGCCACTAACCACGCTCTCGGACTCCTCGAGCACGTTATCCAGCGGCATGCCCGGCTGGTACGGCTGCGCAAACCGCGCACCTCCCTCACTGAGCGTCTCGACCTCCTCGGGCAGCTCGAGCCTATCGCTCTGCGGCGACCTCGGCTCCCTCGGATCTATATTCGACGCGGCATCTTCGGGGTATATCTCATCATCCTCTTCAGCCTCGCTCGGCAGCGGCCTCTCCTCCACCTGCGGCTTTTTGGCGGGCAATGTGCCACCGAACCTCGAGGCTACATCCGCCACGCGGCCTGCAACGGGGTCTTTGGCAAACGGATCGCGGTATCCAGCCTTGCCCGCCAGCGGCGAGACGGGCGAGGCCGGAGTGGGCGAGCTGAGTGGCGGCGAGGTGGCGCGCGGGTCTTTGCTCGCACGCACCGCCTCGATCGGGCTCAACCCAGCACGCAGCGATTCGACCAGCTTCTTGGCATCGATCTG